GTAGAATTACAGCGGTTTCCCGTAACCTCCGTGTACAAAACAACATTATAGGGCTGAGAAAATAAATCGATGCATCGCGAATCGAGAAATGATTCTGCATAGACCTGGGCGATGAAACGGTATCGATATTTATCGATGGTACACCTTCTTCGATAACGATATAAAAAATGTTCGCTATGACGCAAGATATAGGCATGTGCTGTGAGTGACGCAGACAGCGCACACGAACACATGCTGAAATGAGTGCTGTGCCTGCCTGTGATGAGGAGATTGTGAATAAAAATGAATATTAGTCGAATTTAAAATAAACATTTGCATTTGAATGTTAGGAGTGAGTCAGAGAGCGTCATCAGTGGCGCGCGAGATGCGGTGATGATGATGTGAGTGACGTGTGTATTTTAATGTTTTATGAGTCTAGCCCACGAGACGCGCCGCTGCTGCGTTATTCATTCAAAATATTAGAGAAGATCTTGATTAGGTTAAAACCCAAACCAAGCCATTCACACAGAACGCATATTCAGCGCATTTTGACGGACAAATATGACTGCTGCACCTATTTAATCTGCATAGAAAACATTAGAAGTTAGATATTGGTTTAATTTTTATTGTGAGTACGCACCACTTGAACCTAAAATAATCATTCATAAAGTTTGAAAAGGTTGAAGCGAATTACAAGAGTGTTCGCAGTGGGTTGTGTTTACATTAATCTCGCATCATAAAAGCATAAAAGCTGATGTGCAAGTACATTTAACCCCTTACATTACTCAGCCGAACGCTCAAGCGCTCTTCCTCGTGACTTCGAAACTAGCCTAGAGCGCCACAGTATTTAGCCTATTTATTGCGAGTTGTTCAAATGGCGGTAATCGGATATACGGTTTTAATGATAATTAAAATATGAAACGGTAACCGTGGGGGATTTTATCACGATTTATCGTCAAACCGGTAATCGTTTCATCCCCAACGGTGTGCATCAAGAACTAGGGTTGCAAAGGGGTGGAAAATTTCCGAGTAAATTTCCGGAAACTTTCCAAAAATCCCTGGAATATATATATAAAAAAAAAATCCTGTAAAGTTTCCAAAATTTCTGGAATATTTCCGAAATTTACTGGACATTTTCCACCTTTTTGCAACCCTATCAAGGACACACAAAACGCTAGTTATGAATTATGACAAAGGCCGATTTGAGCTCAGTAAAGTGCTTCCTTGCGCTGTAGGAAGACGAGGGGTAGTTACACGGCCTGCTGGACTTATCTGGAAAATAGCTGTGCTCAGACTCTAATGATCCTCTTTCTAGTATCTCTGAGTGTGTTAATGCTTTGCCTGGAAGTAAACTAATAGCCCTCATCATTCAACCTGAGAGCCGTACCCAGAGAAACCACAGAGATCAGCTTTCAGTTCTGAGAAACCTTACTAAAGATGCAGCAGAGGAGCGCTGATGTCCTCACTCATTCATATTTTACACACCTAGCTTCTACATGAGCTGGAAGGCTGACTGTAACTGACTTAGAGTTATACATTATAGAGTATTGAACCTTATGAAAATAAGTACAATAGATCAATAGTATAACACACAACTTTATGGAAGCATGCAGAGCTGGGTAGATTACTTACAAAATGAAGAAAGTAGCCTACTCTTTGTGATTGGTTTTCAGTCCTTTGTATTAAACTATACATCCGTGCATGGCGCTGTTTTTTTTCTAGTTGTTTAAGCAACTTAATTATATATGGTTTATAAACATTATTTTAAACATAATGCACTTTTTTTTCCCCCAAAGATAGTCGTGTTATTTTATTACGCTTTGAATAAACGTGCATTAGTAATATTTAGCGCGATGCGCCCTCTTGTGGCCTCAGGAGAGAAGCCAAAAAGCTTTTTCCCCCTAACTGAAATTATGCCTTTTAAACTCGTTAAATTTTTATTTAAAATAGGTATTTGCACTTAGTGTAAATAGAATCCATTGCTAATACGAGATTTGAAAAGGGAGGGAAAAAGAGTTTGGCAAAAGGCGGGATCGCACCCGGGTCGATCGCGTCAAAAAGCCAACGACACGCACTTATCCATCTGCGCCGCTGGAGCTGATGTTCTACAGCCACTTTTAACTAAATGTAAATAGACACCCCGTATTTTTTATTCCAGAGTAAGGGCAATTCATACAATACATTTAAACTGAGCTACTTTAATACCATCTCTGAACTTTCTACCAGGACTCTGCTGTTCTTCGGCTGGTTCTTCTCTGTATACGGTGATTGGCAGATGTCTCGTCCAGTCAGCGGTGAGTAATCCCAAACCAATGGCGCTGTCTCAAACTATACCTACCTCTTCCGGTTTCTCTGAAGTGTTGTTGTGCTTTCTGACTTGTTATAATGTTTTTTAGACTTGCATTTGCGTTTGTAACTTGTTATTTAGTTTTCAGAATTGTGATTTGTTCTGCACCTCTCGGCCACCGTACGATGCACACATATTAGTGAACTTCCACATACAGTGTCTATTTATTTTTAAAAGATATTTTATGTCATTTGTAATTATAACTCTGTATTACACATAGCCTAGACACCAAGACATTAGCATTGCACATTAAATTAACTCTTTAGCTCGCAGGAGACGCATGCGCACCGCACATATAACACCAACCAATGCGCGACTAGAACTCCCGACCAATCACAACTCATGGGCGGAGCTTACGACGTGTGACGCAGACACGTGACTTTCACACTGCGGCGCCATGATTCTTCCCAAAAATAGAGCGCTAGCATGCGATCAGTCGCAAGTCTTCAAAGATTCGTTTTTGTTGTTGTTAAATACCTATATAGGTGTATATATATATATATATATATATATGTGTGTATGTATAGGACCTCAATAGCATCCAGTATGCAGTCATATGTACAGAAGCACGGTGTTGTTTGCTATGGCGCCATATCAGCTAGCTGCACGTTAGCCACTGGCTAATCAATCGATCAGCTCATCGATAACTGATTCAAGGCTGATCCGAGTCCAGAGACGGATGGTAAGAGACACACAGACAGGGCCAGACTAGCATCAAAACCTGCAAGTTATCCAGACGTTGATTGAATATGTTGTTGTTGTTCATGACGACTCGGAATAGTTTAAGTACGCCCGAAAAAAGCAGCAGGAGCGGGAGCATGTCACTGGGGCTCGGGCTGAGCTGCAGTCCTGACAGCTCGGGTGAGTGAGCGCAAAGGGGGATGGTGTGAGAGACGGCCAGAAGCGCTGGTCACTGCTCGGGTGTCACATGTCACTCACTCAGCGGCTCTCAGAGGACACTACTGTGGTGCACACACTCCAGTCCCAGCTCGGGGCTTATTCACTCACCTGGGGATAGTGCGCAGGTCCCCGGGTCCTTTGCTTTCGTCTTCTCGGGAGAACCACACCTCCAGGAGCTTCTCGGTCCCCTCGAAGAAGTGTGCGCTGCTCTCTTCCATCGTGACACAGACAGACCCCAACAGCAGAAACTAAACCGTCGGATGGAATCCCAGTTAATCAGTCCTTTGTGGGTTGTTATAATTTATTAGGTTAGTTACAGTCCTTGAGCAGTCCAGATGTAGTTGCCTTGTTTTTTTTTAACCGTCTTCCCTTTCACAGAGAACACCGTGGGCGAGCGCTAGCTAATATCGCCGGCCATACTGTGTAAGCGCAGAACTGCAGCCCGCGCGGAGCTTTTATAACCTACCCGCCGACGTCATCCGCAGTGCGGCCAATCACGGCCGAGAAGCCGCCCTCGTGTCAGCAACGATTGGCTGTAGCTGCTGTCAATCAAATCGGCGGCTGCGTAACGGTATGAGCAGCACAGCTTGTATACAATCAAAGCCCTTATCGCTGCATTGCATTTTCACTTGCATCTTCAATGAGGCATTACCAGATCACATTCAGCACTTCTGCGAGACTTCTCTGTGTGCTTTGCTACGTGCGTAAATAGTTAGCGGTTGTTATAATTTATTAGGTTAGTTACAGTCCTTGAGCAGTCCAGATGTAGTTGCCTTGTTTTTTTTTAACCGTCTTCCCTTTCACAGAGAACACCGTGGGCGAGCGCTAGCTAATATCGCCGGCCATACTGTGTAAGCGCAGAACTGCAGCCCGCGCGGAGCTTTTATAACCTACCCGCCGACGTCATCCGCAGTGCGGCCAATCACGGCCGAGAAGCCGCCCTCGTGTCAGCAACGATTGGCTGTAGCTGCTGTCAATCAAATCGGCGGCTGCGTAACGGTATGAGCAGCACAGCTTGTATACAATCAAAGCCCTTATCGCTGCATTGCATTTTCACTTGCATTCTTCATTACCAGATCACATTCAGCACTTCTGCGAGACTTCTCTGTGTGCTTTGCTACGTGCGTAAATAGTTAGACAGTTTGTGAGATCGCTTTCTTTGGTCGTGTGCTCTGATCCTCTCAGCACGAGTGCAACTGCGAAACTGATGCGTGAAAACGCATTTATGAACCCTTAGTGGTTTGTGATTTTAATGTTCTTTTTGTAAATATTATTTTGGATCCTAAAGCTCGAGTGTTTTTCTTTTTCTTTTTTTTTTACTTTATGAGACTCTGAAGCAAGAAAGAGTATTAAACAGCAGCTGCTTAAAAATAATAAAATAATAATAATAATAATAACAAATGCCCTTGTAAAGGCGAATAAACGCTGCGCCAGTACATAGGCAACTGGTAATTGGTCCCCGTTTATTCACAAAATATGCTTTGCTTGTGCATTTTACATCACCATCGTGTGAGAGTACTTCAGACGATTTGCGGACGCGAGTTATTATCGTACTTCTGTTAGAATGACAGCTAATGCAAAGTTTGAATATTCCAACAACCTCGAACATTTGAAAGGGAATGGATCGCGGTTTGCGCGTTGTAGTTCACGGACGACCTGCGGTCGTTAACTCAAACCGGCGGATCGATCGGAGTGCACTACATTTCCCAGAAGGCAATCGGCCACAATAACATACGTCATCGAACACGTGACCATTAAGCGGGGCCGACCAAAATCCCAAACAAGGAAATGGTGGGGTAATAAAACGATCGGATCATTTAATTAATGCATGTAATAATTAATATTTTATTTTATTGTAAATTAAGAAACATTTATGGGTTCAAATGGACCACGACTTCAAAACGAGGCTCGCCGCCGAGAGGGAGAGAGTGGAAGATCTGTTTGAATATGAAGGTTGTAAAGTGGGTCGCGGCACATACGGGCATGTTTATAAAGCCAAGCGTAAAGACGGGTAAGATGCACGCGTTTCACTCACGCTACGCGCTTCTGCTGACTGTGTGTGTGTGTGTGTGTGCGCGCGCGCCACTGCTGTGTTCACGTGCTTACCTGTTCATGCTTTCATGGGCGGGAGTTTACATGCTTCGATGTTCAGAAATGCACTTGTGCAGGTTGTCATGCGTGCATGCGTGCAGTGCAGTGTCTGCAGGAGTTCACGTGTTGATCTGTGCAGAAGTTCTCGTTTTCCTGAAAGCGTGGCAGATGTTCAGAAATGCATGGCGACATGTGCAGAAGTGCTACACTGCATGCACACTCATCCTACAAGAGCTCATGTGTGGGTTCATTTATGCATGCAGGGGTTAGGAGTGGCATGCAGCAGTAACCGGTGATCATGCCAGTGCGTAATGCTGCCAGGCACACTGTGTCCTCTACACAAATACCCTAGTGACAGCGAGGTGATCACAGGTTTCTGAGGCAGCTGCAAGCATTGTGGGACACTGTTTTCTGCTGGCACAGCTTAATGCCCACAGCCTTCAAGCAGTTAACTTACAACAGTGTTATATAATAGAATAAGTGATTCAGATCAATCATATTCCATCAGCTGGCTCATTCACACACATTCTTCAAAAGATCTTTTGTGTGGAGCAGAAGAGAGAAGCTCGTACAGGTTTGTTCCAACCTGAGGGTTAGCAAATGACGAGCGTGCAAGTGTTTCAGACGCATTCAACTCTGACTGCCTTGTTTTTCACTGAAAAAAGGTCTTACTGAATTTATTCAATATTTTAGGGCAAGTGTTTGCATTAAATATATGTGTCTTAATTTCAGAAACACCAGTTTAGTTGAACCTAGTCAATGTTCTTTTCAATTACATCAGCTCCGTTATATTGAGTAGATTCCGGTATATTACGGTATATATATTCAAGTCTGTATTTTTGATGAATTTAGATGAATCAGTGTTTAATGTTGGATTATGGTGAGACATATTATGCCCCTTTTTACAATATGTAATATAAGTCTCTGGTGTCCCCAGAATGTGTCTGTGAAGTTTCAGCTCAAAATACTCCACAGATCATCTATTACATCATTTTGAAAATGCCTATTTTGAGTGGAAGCAGAAACGTGCTGTTTTTCGGGCCTGTGTCTTTAAATGCAAATGAGCTGCTGCTCCCCGCCCCCTTTTCCAGAATATAGCTGCACTAAAAAACATCTGTTTTGGTTCTGATTATCATGTTTATCACGCTGAAATCATGCGTACAAGTAGGCTGTGGATTTTGGTATTGAAACATATTGCCCTCATTCTTTGTTAATTGATTGGATTTAGTTTGTGAAAAGTCTCAGAGCAACGGCTAACGTGACCACACCTTGAGTTCATATCATATATTGGTACTTATTCACAAAAAATGACTTCTGATTATAGAGGTATTTAAGCACTTCCCTGGAAAATGTTTGCATTTCATTGCATTGGGTGATAAAACACGCAAACAAGTGTTGTTTACTTTTAAGAAAGGTAGCTCAAGAGCACTTTGCATGTTAAATGTTTTACAGAGTATATATTTGAAATAATAAAAGATAATGTTATCTATAAACAAACATTTTGTGGATCTGAAATGTTGGGACATATTGATAGTTTAATGTAATGAACTACACCTGTGTGAACCTGAGGAGGGCTTTGTACATCTCATGAATGATTTCTTTGGCCGGTTGGTTAAAAATCATTGCAAAGAAGTGTGAAGTTACTTTTGAGAAAATGGATATTTAAATAGTGAATTCTATTCAGCAGACAATCAATCAATAACCATGAGTAATCATGTAAACTAGATGAGGAGTATGAAAACATACTGCTTCAGTAATCATTACAAAAAGAGATTTTTTGCTAGCATCATGAACTTGGAGAAAAGTTATTGTTTAATTCGGTAATATCAATGCACATTATTTAATTATTAGCTAAATGTATTTTAGTTATTATATTAGCAAAAATTAAAGTACATTAGTGTGTAAACAAGCACTTTTTAATGGTTACTACTTTATGATTTATTAATTAAATGCATAATATATTGTTATTCATGTCTTAAATGTAAGTTACTGAAATACAACAGATAGTTGTTTAATAGAGTTATTCATATTCAAACGTGTATTTACGGTATGTGTTTCCTCACCTTTAGTGATGTTGTGTTTGTGTTTTCACAGGAAGGATGAGAAGGAGTATGCGCTGAAACAGATAGAAGGCACTGGTATTTCCATGTCTGCCTGCAGGGAAATTGCTGTGAGTTACTTAAAAGCAAATCTGTTTAACTACGTTGCATACAAGTATTTTTTAATCAGCCGTCAGTTTTTAAAAACAAAAAAATATGTGTACAGTAATTCATTAAGAGAGGAATCCAGCAAGTATGCAGCACTATGAACTCTTAACTGCAATAACTGAATGTTTTGAAAATATAACCATATTTCTTAAATATTAGGCTGCTGTATATGTGTGTTAGTTTGAGATTGGTACGATAGAATAAGTTATCAACCGCTCTGTGACATTTCTTAGGTCACGCAAATCAGCCGTGCTCTCCCACAATCACATGACCAAAGTGTCCTTATTATCATATGACCACCACAAGGTTGAAACTCTGTTGCCATGTTGTTTTTCCCCCAAATTATTTACTTTCCATTTGAAGTAATAAGGCCCGTATGACTGTATTCATGATAAATTGTCATTGTTTTGTGTGTTAGCTTTGTGTAATCCTAATTGCACTTAATTATTGCCCAGCTCATGCGCAATTTGTAAAACAGTCATTTCTTTCTGTACATGTACAGAAAGTTCAAAAATTCTTGTTGCTACTTATTATCTTCTTTGCCTGTGCTTTTGTACCAAAATGAGAGAAATACCCGTCACAGACTCAGGTTTCATGAAGTAATCGTGAATCCTGGAGAGAAATTCAGCGAGGTGTGTTGTGGATGTGGCCAGTCTAGTCAGTCTAGTTTGAATGCAGCCAGTGACTCAGTCGTTCTGTTGCTTTGTAAGAATTGGCTGTAAAATCCTGAGCTTCATTCACAGTGAAGTTCAATGGCTGTCTGGGGCCGTATGTATAAAGCCGCTCAGTGTAAAATTTTAGTCCTAAGTGTGTCTTAGGATTCTAAGAATGATGTTTTTTTTCTAAAAATTCTAAGAATTAGGTCATTTTACTCTTATTCCTAGACTTAAGAATAAGAGAGATTCATAAAGGTTCCTAAGTGTTAAGACTACGTCTCAGCTCCTAAATTATTTAAGAGCGCTGGAGAGGAGACGACAAACACTTTCCAGCGAAGATATGACATATTGGACTTATATGATAATATGGAGTTGATAAAACGATTTTTGTTTTTGTAACAAGATCAAAAAGTCTTTTTTTTTTTGTAACAGACAAAGTAAGAAATGTAATAACCTCTTCCACTCTAACTGCAGAAATCAAAGTAGTAATCACATTTTTTTGGGCTGGAAAATTGGAAAAATGCAGCAGTGCACCGGTGATGACACTGTAAGCAGGGTCTTACATGTTGTGGCACTAACCCCACCAAACACAACAGTGGCCAAAAGTGATGTGTATGATGTTTTTTTTCTAAAAATTCTAAGAATTAGGTCATTTTACTCTTATTCCTAGACTTAAGAATAAGAGAGATTCATAAAGGTTCCTAAGTGTTAAGACTACGTCTCAGCTCCTAAATTATTTAAGAGAGCTGGAGAGGAGACGACAAACACTTTCCAGCGAAGATATGACATATTGGACTTATATGATAATATGGAGTTGATAAAACGATTTTTGTTTTTGTAACAGACAAAGTAAGAAATGTAATAACCTCTTCCACTCAACAAGTCAATGTTCTAACTGCAGAAATGAAAGTAGTAATCACATTTTTTTTGGCTGGAAAATTGGAAAAATGCAGCAGTGCACTGGTGATGACACAGTAAGCAGGGTCTTACATGTTGTGGCACTAACCCCACCAAACACAACAGTGGCCAAAAGTGATGTGTGGAGTTTATTTAAAATTTTTAAATGACCCCACATTTCACTTAAACCATTAAAATACAAAGGACAAAAAAACACTGAGCAGTGTTGCCAACTGCTTTCAATCGAAAGAGGCTAAAACCGGTCACTTATTGTTGCTAGATGACCTCATAAAGGTGAGTTCACTGATCTATATTTATATTTCTATAGATCAGTGAACTCGCCTTTCTGACGTCATGGGAGAGTCAAAAAATGCAGATGAGCTGAAGGCCACTGTCAAAGAAACCTGGGCTTCCATACCACCTCAGCAGTGCCACAAACTCATCACCTCCACCTTTGTCCAAGAAATTGATTTTGTTGCTAGGCTTTTGAAAAAAAAGTCTCTTAAAAAAGGGATGAAGAAATGAAATGAACCTGTGGGTGAGCACGTCTTCGCCATTCAAAATCAAAGCGCACTTTTTCGTTTTATAATGCCGTCTTATTGCTCTTCTTCCTCGTAGGTGCATTTTAAAAATGTTTTCCCGATGAATCCTGGACTCCTGCTCAAAGTGATAAATTAATATAAGGACAGCTACAAAACAAAACCAACAACAAGCCCGCGAAGCTGTCGTGACGGATGACAGCTGTGACAGCTGAGTGGAATCCGTTGCTAGGCTTTTGAAAAAAAAGTCTCTTAAAAAAGGGATGAAGAAATGAAATGAACCTGTGGGTGAGCACGTCTTCGCCATTCAAAATCAAAGCGCACTTTTTCGTTTTATAATGCCGTCTTATTGCTCTTCTTCCTCGTAGGTGCATTTTAAAAATGTTTTCCCGATGAATCCTGGACTCCTGCTCAAAGTGATAAATTAATATAAGGACAGCTACAAAACAAAACCAACAACAAGCCCGCGAAGCTGTCGTGACGGGATGACAGCTGTGACAGCTGGTGGAATCCCGGAAAATAAACCGTGGAACTTTGACCAATGAGAGAACAGTTTACTCGCGCGTGACTTGTATTAACAAATTTGGTCCGTTTAGAAACATTGCCGTGTGAAAACAAACCGCACCAAGAATAAAAAGCAACATTGTAGTAATTTGAATCCCTGTTTCGGAACAAAGCAATCGATCTACAGGTGTGAAAGCACCAACATATACATATAACCTAACATATACCCTATAACATATGTTACTTACATTTCATTAGTCCATAATTGTTCATAATTTATTTGTATGACAGCATGGTCAAAAACTATGACCGCACAATTTGGCATGTTTCATTGCATTATTATCACAAATAAAACAGCTAACTAAGCAACTATGCAATATGCTTACAAAATCTTGCACTTTTTAAAATTTTTATTAATGGTGAAGATGTCAAACTTCATAGGCCGGACATCACTTTTGGCCACTACTATATGGCAGTTTAATGACTTTCCAACTAGGGCTGAACGATTTTGGAAAAGAATCGAATTGTGATTTTTTTTTTTTGCCAATATTGCGATTTAATATGCAATTATTTTTTAAAGCTCTTTATGTTTTGTATTATTCAACAAAGACAAGCTATAAATCAGTGTATAGTATGACTAACACACTATTAGATAGATTAAACACAAATGTTCTTTTCTGTAGGCCAGGCCTATATGTTACGATGAAATTAGGTGATGCGTGAATTGATATGAATGACGTTTTTATTTAACATCTACAATCACAGTATATTGACTGATTTGTTGAACTTCCAACCTTGTGAGCATGTAATAATTATGACAACATAAAGCACTGACAAATAAGCCTGGTGTAAACATTAATATGAAAGTCAGTAACAAATCGCACAAACTAAAGTAGATTGCAGAAATATAAAAACAAACCTGTTGCTTTACCACACTACTTTAGGTAATTCAAAGTCACTGTAATAAACATAGGTAAACATGTGGACTGCACTAAACACTGTCTGTTAACTTTAGACCAGTGCTTCTCAAAATATTTTGGTCGCGCCCCCCTTTAAACTTATAAAAAAAAATCAAAAAATTAATGCTTTTTTAATTTATAAAACCTACAGGGGGAAAAACATCTGCATCACTTGAAACATTGAAAAATAGCATAGAGAGAATAACTTATTATTATTATTATTCTCTCTCTGTTATTTATTTATTTTTTGTGGGTTTCATGCTGTCTGCTTAGGCATAGGACACACACAGGCTTTAATACAGTAGAACCATTATAATCAGTGACACTGTGTACACTGGATTCGACGCGACAAATCCCAACAGTAAACTGATGCCTTGTTCTATTTATGACGTACTGACACAAAGTTAAAATGATTTGCAACGGTCGCTTTGTCGCTTCAAGTCGAACACATCTCTTTACTCTCGCGTGTCACGTGACCGAGTGTAATCGCAGCCTCTGCGATTGAAAAATTTTCGTTTTGTCATATCGCGATATTATCGCAAATGCAATTAATAGTTCAGCCCTATTTCCTGGAGTCGTTGATGGAACTCATGTTCACATCATTGCTGTAAACGTGGAGACATACCAATAGAAAACAAAGCATCGGTAATAATTTGTGATAATTTTGCACAATGCAAAGCATTTAAAAATATATATTTAAATATTAAAATATTTCAGTGTCTTAATTAAATGACTTTATTGTAGTTACATTAAATGATTGGTGTTGTGCTGCTGTGAATTTACATGAGCAGGCTCACTATTGGCTGATTCAGAGGTTGAGGTCAGCTATATTGTGTTGACATCATTGTAGTCCTTAGTTCACAACACTGTCACCTCAGTCAACACTTAAGAATCAGTCTTAGACTTTTCTGAAAGTTGCTTTTAGCTTCTTTATAAAAGTACTTTTACTACTTTTTACTAAGAATATTTTGACACTTAAGGCAAAGCTTAAGACTATTCTTAAGAGCATTTCTGAGAAGGTTTATACATACGGGCCTTGATCTTTAACAGAAATGCAGGCATTACCTAGTGCTTGGTTGAGATAAAGGAAGACTAAGACTTTTCAATGATAAACATGAGCTTATAAATTGCCATTCAAGGTATTAAAAAGACAAGTTAAGAGCTGTCTATGTTGTGAGCAGTGGTAATGAAGGATTAGATGTATGATGTGACAACAGAACCAACTAGTCTGGTGTAACTGAAAAAATTGCTTCGGTCTGAGTACAGAGCCCTGTGGAATTCAACATAGTCTTTAAAAGTGGTTAAATAATGAGGAAGCACATTTTCCTTGGTCTTTTTCCGTGATCATTTTCAAAAAGGAAAATTCTGTCATTAATTATTCACCCTCATGTTGTGCCAAACCCTTAAG